GCTGAGGAAACTATTGGAAGCAGAACAAAGCGGGAAGATGGCAGAGTTGCTAGTAGCAAAGAGGAACGCCTCTCTCCATGCCATGCAAGATACTATCTGGAGAAGTTCCTGCGATTCCCTCTCCTGATCTTCCCATCCTTTCATAGGTCTTTTGCCCCTTTGCACCTTTTTCCCCGCTCCGCCTTGCTGATATAGATACATCCCCTCTTGCCACCTTCCCCTGCCCCCACCCCTCTAATCCTCCTATCGCAGCCCCCATTCCCCCCCGACCCCCTGTGAGAGGCAGAGTGTGAGAGGGGCGGGCCCTGGGGAAGGTGGCTCAGGGTGGTAAAACATTTCCCCAGGTGCGAAGGGGGCAAAGTTGGCTAGCAGCAGCAGAGGAAAGCATTTGCCCAGGCCTGCCCCACCACCTCTCTCTCTCACTCGCACGCGTCCCCACCTCACCCAAGACATTCATTTTCAAGAACTTCCCAACACTTCCCTCCCTCTCCCTTCTGCTCCTTCCACACATCTTTCCTGCCCCCGCCCGCTTCTCCCTCCCATCAAACTCTTTCCTCCGTTGTCACAACTATTCCCTCCATGAGAGGGCGAAGGAAAGCAGGGCTCAGGTCAAGGGGCGGGGAAGACCATGCACATCTTTCAAAAGTGCGAAGTAGAAAAAGGTCGACAGCAAGGCCTGAACCTCAATCTTAAAAACTACCAGTGTGTGTAGCATCGTGTTCGGTGACCGAACCCTCAAAGTTCGTGACCGAACAGAAACGAGCGCCAAAACCCTCCAAATGCTAACATTAATATATATATCGTCAAATAGAACTGCCTACGGTAAACCGTAGGCAGAGAGGGAGAAGAGAGAAGAGGACAACAAACGAGGGGCTGTGACAAACTGTTTCGTCGGAGTTTCACCGACTACTATCATTGAATTGATAACAGATCTTATTGGAATATTCACAATAACCGTTATTTTGTGTATTGCAAAAAAAAGACTGAGTATTTTCTACTGTTGATAATATATTTATATCTAATTCAAGTAGTATGTCAATTATTTTCATTTCTTTGATAAATAGAAAAACCAATTCAAGTAAGATGCTTGAATTCATTTTTCAAAATACTACTTGAAGTGAACAACTAAACCATAAATAGTTAAAGCCTCCATAAAGGCTAAACTAAGTAACAAGGTACCTCAAATTTTTCCTTCTGCTTCTGGTTGTCTAGCAATCCCTTCTACTGCTTGTCCAGCAGCAGTGCCCTGACCTACTCCAGGTCCAATTGAAGATAAACCTACTGCTAATCCAGCAGCAATTACAGAAGCAGCAGAAATCAAAGGATTCATAAAGGTCTCCTGTGAAAAAAAGAACTTGACCATATCAGTTGAATTTTGATTTTTTTTATTGAGAATCATACATATATATATAATGTATACAATGTGTACAAATAGAATATTATCATTTTATTCTTTATTGAATTTATATTATAATTATATATATATATATATATTCAGCCTCCTGACGAGTCGGTGAAACTCCGACGAAACAGTTTGTCACAGCCCCTCGTTTGTTGTCCTCTTCTCCCTCTCTGCCTACGGTTTACCGGCCAGTTCCATTTGACGATATATACACTAGTGTCCAATTCTATATGGATTAATATCATACATAATGAAAAATAGCAACGAAGAATAGACACAGAGAATTACCATCAGATAATAAATAGAATAGATCCATCCTAGACTTTCGCCCCCACAAGTACATTACATGTAATTCATGAATGTATGAAGGCCACGAAGTGGGAGAGGCAGGATTCGAACCTACATATATATATATAAATTATAAATAAATATATATTTATAAATAAATATATAGAATCTAAAAACAATATATGTTATGTAAAATAATCATTGCAACCGCGGACCCGGACCCGAACA